AGGACACAGAAGAAAGACAAGAATAGAGGAAGAACCAAACTATGATGTGATGAAGAAAGAAAATAAAGAGAAGAAGATGACAGGACACAGAAGAAAGACAAGAACAGAGGAACAACCAAACTATGATGTGATGAGGAAAGAAAATAAAGAGATGAAGATGAAAGGACACAGAAGAAAGACAAGAACAGAGGAACAACCAAACTATGATGTGATGAGGAAAGAAAACAAAGAGAAGAAGATGAAAGGACACAGAAGAAAGACAAGAACAGAGGAACAACCAAACTATGATGTGATGAAGAAAGAAAATAAAGATAATGAAGATCAAATGACACATATGTATATACATATGATATACATATATACACATATATTTGCATGTGGTGTTCTCTACAGACGAGGTTGCACAGTCAATATATACATATACTAAAATTTGTTTCGATGGCGAAAGAAATTTGACAAAGTTTAAAAGTTTCATTTATTTGAGGAAGGTTTTTAAGCACTTTTTAACTTATTTTCGTGTTGGTGTTGCATACTACAACTATTTGCGCCGTTTGGTCAGCTAGCTAGCTCACATCGAAGGTAAGTAATTGTCTTTTACTTGTTAAGGATTTGGTTGGAACTTAATGACACTGTTTTTCGCCTTCATTTTAGATTCTAGCATTAATGAGTTTGTAAAATACATCTTCATAGTCTTAGGAAATATAAATGGTGAAACATGGCTGTGAGAACGCTCGTTTCTCAAGCATTGATCCCGAGCTCGATCGTTGTTGCATGTGAGTAAAGCTTGCTTGTTGTTTCGACTGTACTAGTGCTTCGGTTGATCCTTACCGCTTTTTTGTCTTTCCGAATACACTAAAAGTTCTAATGAAGCTATCCTTTATCAGTTGTATTCTGTTGTAATCATTATCACTGCTAAAATTAGTAAGTGACTTTTATCTTTTAACTTAACGCTCATTCGTGGGGACTTCTACTACGTCGTTGTTGACTAAACTTATGTTCGACATCCGTTTTTAAATTTATAAACTTAGATTTAAAATCGTTTTCTACTATAATTATTCTATGAAAACTCATTCTACGAATGATTGATTGGAAGCTAATACAAATTTTTAAAAAATTGCCTTAGTCAACTTATTCATATGGTTTCTAGAGATGTATCTTTTTGGGTCATTTTCGAAACTTGCTTCAAAACTATAAAATCTGAATTCAGCATGTTATCGAAAAACCAATTTTTCTTGATAATCCCGAAAAAAATATTTTCTCAAAAAAGCATTGTAATATTGAAAACTTGTTATGTTCAAGTTTTTTTGGAATACAGACTTTTTTTGTACATTTTTTCGACATTGAATGAATGGTATGGCCAAGTGAGCTCGCTCCATGGCGACTATGATTTACGAGCGAGAAAGACAGCTATAAACATAAGCATAGTAAAAAAAGGTTATAATTTTCTGAAATTATTAAAAATATTGTAGTTTTTAGCTTTTTCTTCCTTCCGGACAGGAAGAGTTTTGTAAACTCCGCCGCAACCTCCATTCAAAACGATCGGTGATCCACAGAACATTCAGTAATCAAGCTTTTTTTTAAAAAAAAATACAGCAGAGTTTAATAGCTAATAAAAAACTTCCCTTTTGCACCGCTAGGTAAGCATTCTTTATCTTTATGGTAGATTTACGAGCTTTTAGCTTCGTTAGGAACAGTAACATAAACAACTTGAGAAGCGGGGGGAAAAAACATCGCTTTAAAGAAAAATCTAGAAACCAGCTTGTTTGTTCGGCGAAGCACGGAAATTTGAATTGCTTATGTCACTAAACTAATAATATTGGACTTAAAGTTTTTCTGGATTTCTTTAAGACAGTTTCTATGAATCAAAGCTGTTAAAATCAATTTTCTATGAAAAATCAATTTTATCATATTTTTGAGCCTCTCTCTGACTGCTCTCTTTATTCCAAGAAGCTTCATCCCCGTCTGAACGGTTGTGAGTTCTCCTGTGGCTTCAGCTTCACGTAAGGTTTTTGATTAAGAAATTGCTCGACGTCTTTTGGTAAATATGCAGTTACCTATTAGGACTTTTGCGACATTTAATTTGAACTGTATTTATGTTTGAAAAATTGGATGTAATAGCACTCATATTTTAAAACTATAACATCTTAATTTTTCATTAAAATATAAAGAAAATCAAGAGCCGAGTTTATCAGCGATGCTATTAAAAATTCAGTTTAAAAAATCCAAGACATTCAAAAAAGAAAAACCAAATATTTTTTCGTTTCAGCAAAAGGTTTAGAAACTTTTGGTGAAATTTTTCAGCTGAAATCATCCAATGTCAAATTAAAGGTAGGGAATTTTTGTTTTATTCTATTATTATTATTATTATTATTATTATTATTATTATTTTGGCAGTATAAACTGATGCAGTTGAAAGTTGATGAACACCCGAATCTTTTTAACTTTATCTTATGCTTTTACCTTATGCACGTAAATATGAAGCTAAAAAATGAAGCCGTATCATGTGTTTGATATTGTCTTGCATTGTATCAGGCTTGTAAGACAGCATTTAATATTATAAATGGAAGTTAATTTTAGACTATTATGAAGCCAATATATAGCATGTCATGAAATTAGTAAGTCAGAGTGACTAAAGTTTAAAAAACATAAGGGGTTATCGACCAGCTGAAAATTATAAATTACCGCAAATGACTTCAAAATTATTTAAAAAAAGACAAAAAGTTAAAATGTTCGGAAAGTATATATTTAAGAAAAATCAAAATCATTAAAGCAAATAAGACAACATATAAAGAAATATGTTCGGAAATTACATGTTTAAGAAAAATCAAAATTATTCAAGCAAATACGTTTATCTTATATAATTTTAAGTTGTGAGCAACTCGACTTACCAAGTATGGGTATGCTAATAGGGCCTGGAGGTAGCCTGCGTTGTAGTCTCACACCTTGCAGTTTAGAAGCGAAAACCAGAACAAGTAGCAACGAGGTAGCGACGGTAAAAAATAAGTTGATATTTAGGAATGAACTGAGGCTTTCTAATAAGACGTAAAAACAAGTCATGTTGATTAAATTCTCGCTGCAATTTCCAAGTGCGATGCGAGAGGTGAGTTCGTTAACCATGCAGTGACGACATCAACTTTCCGAACTCTACTAACCGTGCAAGCCTCTCGTCGCACGTTATATGTTTTCCTAGTATCTTATATTAGTTTGTTTACTTCGGAACCCAGTGACCAATCCCAGACGATTTCTTCCGCATGAGTGATGGCGTCTTGCACTGTCAAATGGCACGTAAAAAAATATAACGTGTTTATCAAAGTGTCCCCGATAAGTTCACTACTAGTAGAATGCGAGAATACTGACACGTTAATCAAGTTTATACGTGAAGTAAAAAAGCTGATGTTAGGAGTAGCGTTACGTCCGATCAGACCTATTTTGTCTGAAAATGCCTTAATTCAAGCCATGAAGGATTAATTGTTTTGAACTCAAGTTATTTTTAGGTTTTAGATTTCAGTTAAAAATTATGAATATTCCATTGATTAAATGTGAGTGGATGTTTGCAGAGTTTTGATGATTATGTTGGTACAGTGGAAACGTTTCGGAACTCGACAAACAGCTATCTTCAGTTTTTAAATTATGTAAGAGTCTATAGTAAACTCTTATTCAAAATTCCATTCATTCAAAGATTAAAAGCAGCAGGCAATTGCAATTCTAAGCTCGTCCCATATATCTCGCAAGATTTACGGAGGGTCACAGAATATAACTTAAAATACACAAAAAATAGTATCCATAGATTCAATTACAAAAGTTCAAAAAGATATTTGATATTTATAGCCTTTATGCCTTAGGAAACTTCGAATACTTTAAGTGACAAGTTTTAGTTGAAGTGTCTCGGAATGATGTCGACATGTTTACTTGCCTTATTAGTGACCCTTAAAACGACCATTGACGCCGGGTTAACGTTTGATTTTGATGTATTCTAACGACTAGATTGCATTTTCCTCTTAGGGATTTACGAATTAACGATCGTGCCCACCCCTAGTCCCCTGGGGAAGGAATGTTGAAAACTTCTGGAACATAATTTGGAAGAAAAAATGAAAAAACAACGATTGCTCGATGGCAACGTTTCGCATGGATTCGAATCAAGACGTGAGATATATTCCTTTTGGAAAGGAAAAAAAAAAGACTGTCATCTAGAGAGACCACGATGATAATTTTATTTTAAAATGATTTACGGAGTACAAAATAGACTAAACAAAAAGAAAAGAAATAGTAAGAAGATAGATATTTACAATAATAAATCATAATGAATATTGAGTTGTAATGTAAGTTGATAATCACGAGCACACAACATCAGTTACTAAACACACACACGCCAAACGCACACAGAACTATGGCGCGCGGAATGGTTCAAAATTGTCATTTCGATGTAATTGAATATTTGTTTGTCAATTGCGTTACTTCGCTTGAATGTGTACACTTATCAGTGCATTGCATTACACAAGCACGTTCCATATGTTTTGTTTTTTTTTTTGTCAATCAATGCTTATAAAAATAGTCAATCACCAAAACTCGGTCAATTACAAAAACTCTGTCAATTACAAAAAACTCGGTCAATCACCAAAACTCGGTCAATTCAGCAAAAAACTCTGTCGATTACAAAAACTCGGTCAATTCCAAAAACTCGGTCAATTCAGCAAAAAACTCGGTCAATTCCAAAAACTCGGTCAATTCAGCAAAAAACTCGGTCAATTCAGCAAAAAACTCGGTCAATTACAAAAACTCGGTCAATTCAGCAAAAAACTCGGTCA